CCCCCCCCAGCCCTACTTCAGCAAGCTGATGAAGCGCAAGTGGCTGACGAGCTCGGACGCCTTCGACGCCATCGTGATGCTCCTCACTGGCTTCGCGCAGACGCTGCGCCCGCTGCACCCCGAGCCCCACCAGGTGGGTGGGTTTGGGGAGAGGTCCGTGGCCGTGCTGGGGGGGCGGCCGGAGCCCCCCCGAGCCCCTCTGACCCCCCCCCAGGTGCTGGTGAGCGAACTGCACCGGCGGGTGCTCGTCGAGTACGTGCGGCCGCTGCTCCAGGGCCGCCTGGTCTGCGCCTCCGCCAAGGCCCGAGCCCGCGTGGCCGCCCGCCTCGGAGACGAGGCCCGGCAGCTCCGGGAGCTCTTCTCGCGACTGGTGAGAACCTCCCCGGTGCCCGTCGTTGGGTGTTGGGTTGGGTGATGTCCGTGGTTGGGCGTTGAGTTGGATGATGCCCATGGGTTGGGTGTTGAGTCAAGGTGTCCATGGGTTGGGCGTCGAGTTGGATGATGCCCATGGGACACGTTGCCCATCGTTGGGTGTTGAGTTGGGTGATGCCCACGGGTTGGGTGTTGAGTTGGATGATGTCTACGGGTTGGGTGTTGAGTTAAGGTGCCCCTCCATTGGGTGTTGAGTTGGATGATGCCCATGGGACACGTTGCCCATCATTGGGCGTTGGGTTGGATGATGCCCATGGGTTGGGTGCTGAGTCGAGGTGTCCATTGTTGGGTGTTGAGTTGGATGATGCCCATGGGACACGTTGCCCATTGTTGGGTGTTGAGTTGGGTGATGCCCACGGGTTGGGTGTAGAGTTGGATGATGCCCATGGGTTGGGCGTTGAGTTGCGGTGCCCCCCCATTGGGTGTTGAGTTGGATGATGCCCATGGGACATGTTGCCCATCGTTGGGCATTGAGTTGGATGATGCCCATGGGTTGGATGTTGGGTTGAGGTGCCCCCCCATTGGGTGTGGAGTTGGATGATGCCCATGGGACACGTTGCCCATTGTTGGGTGTTGAGTTGGGGACACGTTGCCCATCATTGGGCGTCAAGTTGGATGATGCCCAAGGGACATGTTGCCCACCGTTGGGTGTTGAGCTGTGCCCCCCCATTGGGTGTTGACCCCCCCCATCGGGCGCTGACCCCCCCCGTGCCCGCAGGACTCGGCGTCGCCGTGGTTGGACTCGGTGGTGCCGCGGCTGCGGGAGCTGCTGGTGCTGGAGGACACGGCGGCGCTGCAGATGGAGGTCGGGGCCCTGGCCAGGGACTTCCCCGACGTCCGGTGGGTGCGGGGACCCC